ATGACTTATTAATCAAAAATACCTGAATCATCATTGTTTCTATATAACTCTATGACTTATTAATCAAAAATACCTGAATCATCATTGTTTCTATATAACTATATGACTTATTAATCAAAGTACCTGAATCATCATTGTTTCTATATAACTCTATGACTTATTAATCAAAGTACCTGAATCATCATTGTTTCTATATAACTCTATGACTTATTAATAAAAAATACCTGAATCATCATTGTTTCTATATAACTCTATGACTTATTAATCAAAAATACCTGAATCATCATTGTTTCTATATAACTCTATGACTTATTAATCAAAAATACCTGAATCATCATTGTTTCTATATAACTCTATGACTTATTAATCAAAAATACCTGAATCATCATTGTTTCTATATAACTCTATGACTTATTAATCAAAAATACCTGAATCATCATTGTTTCTATATAACTATATGACTTATTAATCAAAAATACCTGAATCATCATTGTTTCTATATAACTCTATGACTTATTAATCAAAAATACCTGAATCATCATTGTTTCTATATAACTATATGACTTATTAATCAAAAATACCTGAATCATCATTGTTTCTATATAACTCTATGACTTATTAATCAAAAATACCTGAATCATCATTGTTTCTATATAACTCTATGACTTATTAATCAAAAATACCTGAATCATCATTGTTTCTATATAACTCTATGACTTATTAATCAAGAATACCTGAATCATCATTGTTTCTATATAACTATATGACTTATTTTTGCATTTAATCAGATTGTTCGCTTTACTCCTCCCAGGTTCAGAATTTCCTTTGATCTGTTTTATGAAGCCATAATGATAACAACTGTGATGATATTTTGTTTGATTGATTTGTGAATGTCAAGGGCAATGTTGTTCAGCTTAACCCCCTTTTTAAAGTAAGATCATTCAGTTTAGTTTAGTGAACTACTGTTGACCTCAGTTAAGGTTAACAATTAGTTTCATTTTGATATATTGCTTGTTTCATATAAGTTTCGTAATAGTTATGCTTTTGCATAGTATATAACTTGAGTTGAGAAATTATTTTCTAAGAAATCGCCACAGTTTTACGAAAACAGTTGTTCCCGTCATTCTAATAGAATTTTTGTAATGTCATGCCTCTTTTCTAAAAAGTCAAACATGATTATAACCATTTTTAGGATAATCCTTAAAGTCCCCGTCTTAAGTTTGAAAATATTTTTTTATCATTCATTAAAAAGTGATTTTAGAGATTTTTAAACAAAAAAACTTTTTGAAAAAAAGTTGTGAGCATTTCATTTCTCAAATATTCAAATTTCCCGCCATTTTTCAAAAAAAGTTGAAATTTCTTAATCATCAAATATTTCTTAATGCATTTCAAAAAAGATTATCTTTTTAACACCAATGCAAAGATTGAACAAAAGACACACTATTTCAATAATAAAATGTCATATTTAATGGGCCACTTCAATGTTTTAGCTTATCAAAAATATTTTGAAACATTAGTGATGTCACTAAGGTAACAAAAACTTTTTGAAAAAAATTGAATTTTTTTTTCGATGTCAATCTTTTCTAAATATGCTACACTTTCATAAAAAACCAATGTTGATTGTCTAACCAGGTTAAAAGGAAGAATTAAATTATGTTTTAGATATCATTGTACTACATTGGTTTCTATGAGAACTAAAATTTTGAAATGCATTTTTCTCAGAACCATTTTCATGCACTGATAAGTTCATTTCTCGCTTGTTTATCAACCGATTTTCTTATTTTTTTCGACAAAAAACATGGGAGGATGAATGCTATGCATTGGTATGAATTGTGGCTAATTAGAAGATATGAGTGACCTCTAAAAGTTGGTTTTAAATAAATTCACAAATTTTGGAACAAAAAGTCTATCAAAAACCACTTTTTGAAATTTAAAAAAAAAGTTTCACATATCACACTTTGATAACATTGGGTAAGACTACAATATAAGCCAAAGTGGTTTAAACTTTACATGGGGCCTTTAAATTTTTAAGTTTTTCTCATCATGATTTAGCTCAGAATTCTTTTTATTCTTAAGAAGAAAACTGAGATGTCGATGCAATGTAAACATATCAGGTTGGAATTTTAATGATTTCTTTTCAACTACCTGGGTTACCATGACACGATGATGATAGCAAGCTTGTTCAAAAAGGAAATGTCAGATTCATGCACAAGTAAATACAGCAAAACCTGTCTTATTTGAACCTATTAGGACTGGTCAAAACTGTTTGGATAAGCAGGTGTTCACATTTCAAGATTTTTAATAGGTTGGTCATTGGGAGATAATAGCATCAGGGCCAAGAAAAGTGTTGTTATTAAGAAATGTTTGTACAAGAGAGGTGTTCCTCTATAAAGGTTTTGCTGTTGTATGCCAGCTCAGATAAACTAATTATCAGTGCCCTGATAAAATATCAATTTATAGCCTTTTGCCTTTAGTCAAACATAGCAAAATAGTCTATACTTAAAACAGTTCCAAACTGTTCTATCCCATTGAATAGAGATGGCTGATTTTTTAGCTAGACATTCTTAATCTGATCTTGCCCTGACCTAATCTACCTCTTTCTTCTTGAAGTTTTTTAATTCTCAATAATTTTTCTTGAAGGTTTCAATGCATAAAATTAAAAGCATTCCTAATATAAAAAATCATTTATTTAACTTATAATTAATTTTCATTACAATCATAGTTTTTAAAACATGAGGTCAACTTCTGTTAAGGGATCATTTTGTTAGAAATGGAGGACAGTTTTAGTATTTATTGATTTGGAGTGTAGCTCATGTTCTGGCTTATGTACACAAATTTTGACTCATTTATTTCATCTATTTCACATAAATTATTAGTAAAAATGGAATGATAAAATAATATAAATTATGTTTAATCAATTAAATATATGTTGTGCAATCTCATGTCTCTCTGCTTGACCCCTAACCCTAAAATATTTCTAATTTCTTATCTTAATCCCTTACGTTTCTGATGAAATATGTCTCTCAGACAGAAAGTACATATTATGGATGCCATAGTAGGTCAGAATTCCAGAAGCAATCCATAAAATAAGCTAATATAAAAATCACAAATGAGACATTTTTATATTCAATTGATGTGATATGATGTTTGAATACAAAACATGAAACATTCTGTTTGTCTAACAGCATCAAGACAATGAATATTGTTCCCAAGGTTCCCGGGAATAAAGCACTTTGAATACGGGGGATTATAAACAAAAGATTATAGATTTCACAACCTGTTACAAGAGCCATGTGATGCAAACATTGATGTCAAGATTCATGTTTTTAAATTAGAACCCTGATATGGAAGAACAATAGGTTAGGTGAAATAGATTGATTGTTTTATTTCAAGTACACGGCACTTCATGTATAGAGGATAGAACAGCTTGTATAACTTCAAAATTACAGCAAGGATATATTAAAGGGAGAATCAGATCCATATGGAGTGACAAAATTGCAAGCAACAATGCAACATGTACATAAAATACATATATTTAGTATAATTAACCCACAATATGTTATTGATTAGGATGGGTCAAAGTGCCAAAATAGGCAAAATTGTTTAAATTCTCCTAAATAAAGAAAATAGTAACCATAAAGTAAAAAAATTAATGTATTATTGTAAAAGACATTCTATACCATGCTTTTCACCCCTTTACAAAATTACATGACATTATCTAAGAGACTATAAGCAAATGGCTTGGGGTCGCTTTATTGCCATGTTATGTAGTCACAATATATGGAACACACAAAACGGTTCTGTATATTAAAGAAATGAGCAATGACAAAGTGTTGTACAAAATGGTAACATAGATTGTTGCATCTGAATTATATTTACTAAGTGTGTCAATCTAGTGGAAATTAAAAACACTGATTGATTTTTGGGTCCTTCACACCATTAAAACCTAATAATAATTAGGAAAGGTATGGAATTACCCCTCCATCTATCAGCATTTTTTGAAATTTATTCTGTGAGGTGTTTATGCTATTAGGCGACCAGAGCCCAGAATGAAGCTAAACAGCCAGCAATCTACCACAATACACAATACAACACACTCTCAAAAGCCAAAACATGCATGAAAGCACACCAACATGATTGGTATCCGAGTTTACATTACACAATAAAAATATTTATGTTCTAATTTGTTACTCTCAACCAAACATAAATTATTAGTAGTTTTCTTCAAATACAGTGTATAACTAAGGGTAGTTTTAGAAATTAGATATGACAAGGAATGATATGAGTCCAAAATATTCTAAAATTGAAACAATTGTCAATAATTGTTGTCAGTAATATCTTACTAGATCTGATTCTGCCTTTAATATATTAGGAGAGAAGAAATAAATTATGTTTAACATATTTTGTTTTTAAGAAGAATGATACTTAATTATAATTATGTTGAAAAATCGATAAGTAGGAAAAATATGCAATAAATATTGTTTATATCTTGCCTTTAATTTATCAATTTATAGTGGTTTAAACAAAACTTTTAATTCCTGAATCTTTATTTAGAGTTAGCCACAAGAATTCAAGCTCAATTATATCTATGCTTAAGGCCAGGTGCCAAAAAGGCTCCCTTTCAGCCAAATAGAAAATGAATACCATAAATGTGTACCAAATGTGATTTGTGAATTCATAAGTTGCATATTATTTTCTGTTTTATATTTGAAGCTCATCTTTCGTGAATCCTCAATTTTATTACAATCTATTTACACTAAATATGATATGCATGTAGGGAAATATGCATTTCTTGTACATATGTACCAAATATTCCATTCTATTGAGGTGAAACATGTTCATCTTTCCCACAGCATATGTATTACAGTACTATCTTTGAATGTTCTCACTTTACTTTGGAAATATGCAAATTAAGTGTATTTCCTCAAACTACAAGATACAGTGAGAAAATGAGAAACATCTCAATGACATAATAAATATGTTTATTTCTTGTTTTCCAGCATGTGTATTCCGGATCAACCTCCTATCATTAGTGTATGGCCTTCTGCTACTGGTGGCCCCTCTCATACAAAGCCCATCAAGGTCAACAATGCAAGGTAAACAATTTCAAAGGATGCAGTTTTTTATGTCACCACCAAAAAGTGGTTGGCAGTTGGTGGTTATAACTTCCAATAACTTAACAATTACTTAATTACTTAATTAAAATGACTTAAATTTTCTTCAAAATCATCTTCAATTTTCTGAAGTTCAAATCTGACTTTAGATTTAAGATTTGACCTTCAATGACCTTCTCAAGGTCAAAAAAGGTAAAAAATGTATTTTTCAACTTGCTCAAAATTTACCAATCTTTTTTTCAAAATTACCTACAAGTTCTCAGAAGTTCAATTCTTACTTTAGATTTGAGATTTCACCTTCAATGACCTTTTCAGGGTCAAAAAGGTATTTTTCAACTTGCGTCAAATTGACCATTTTTTTCAAAATCATCTACAAGTTCTCAAAAGTTCAAACCTGACTATATATATATGAGATTTGACCTTCGTCAACCTTCTCAAGGTCAAAAAGGTCTTTTTCAACTTGTTTCGAAAAACCTTTTTTTAAATCATCAACAAGTTCAAATCTGATCATAGATTTAAGATTTGAAGTTCAAAGGTCAAACAAGGATAAAAGCCTTATATTTTTAACTTGCTTCAATTTTTTTCAAAATCATCTTCAATTTCTGACAATTTCAAATCTGACTTTAGATTTAAGATTTGACCTTCAATGACCTTCTAAAGGTCAAACACGGCTAAAAAGGTCATAAAGGTATTTTCTCAACTTGTTTCAAATTGATCAATTTTTAAAAAAAATCATACAAGTTCTCATAATTCTAAAAGTTGAGGTTCATTTTTAGTTTCCCTTCAGACAGAAAATAGGGGCATCAGGATTCCACTTCCCTATTATTATCAGCCAGCATATTTAGTATTTCCCTTTCAAAGTATGTTTACAGATTTATATATACATACTTTGAAAGGGAAAATACTAAATGTACAAGCTAAGACAGACAGTGCAATGGTTTGTCTAACATGAATATGTTATTATCCCATCGAACGAAGTTCGGAGGGATATAGGGAATGCCTCCGTCCGTCCATCCGTCTGTCCGTCCGTCTGTCCGGGCAATAACTCAAATACCGTTGGCCCGATTTTGTTCATGTTTTGTACACATATACCCAATGGGGGTAGAAGTTCTGCTCGAAAACCGATTCAAAAAAATTTCTGAAAGCAAATGTAATGTTCAAAGTAATGAATTTCCATTTCAACTTTAACAAAATAGTAATATCTACCTAATGGCAAGTGTTAATATTTCCAGGACTTTCAAAATTGAAGTCAAATAGGAGATAAAAATGGCACAAGAAAATGTTCACATTGAGAGGTGTTCAGATTAGAGAGGTGTTCACATTGAGAGGTGTTGTTCAGATTAGAGAGGTGTTCACATTGAGAGGTGTTCAGATTAGATATGTGTTATAATTTATAAGTTTTACTGTAAATACACCTGAAGTATCTTTAAGTGTCCTAGCAATCTCAAGGGTTTCATTGTACCTAAAATACCTGTACCTGTAAAATGTACCTAAAAAGTTTTCAAATCAAATCAAATTCTGGTGGCCATTTTGGAAGTTTTTAGATAAATCTTAAGAGAATTATATCAAATACATGTTATATGGTAAGAAGTTCAAGAGCTGATAAACTCTTTAGTGGATTTTGCTTTCTTGGTTAATAAGTCCACACTGCTGTGCTTTAGGTACGATAATGTTCACTCTGTGCCTTGTTAAACTGAGTATTTCAAAATATTGATGAATTAAAAAAAGAATTTCACAAAATTCTGTAGATATTCTTAGAAAACTAAAGATTTTCTCCCAAAACCTACTTAGTTTCCCTCCCAGTGAGATCATATCCTAGGAGACTTTGATCATGTGTTTATTGCAATTAAGTGGCCCTTGGTAATGTTGTTCATTTTTCCAGGGTTATCAATCCACTTAATTAATACATGTGTAAAAAACTGTAAAGTAGGTGTAGATTGATTTTACACGTTTGGTATCTTTGTAAGTGGTTTTTAATGTTCATTAATCTTCATGGAAAGATGAGAGAGGAAGTCAGAAACATTGTGCACAACCATTGGGATTTAACACTTTCGGGAGTTATTGCTTACTTATAAAAAATAAATCTGCGAAAAGAACAGAGACACATGCAAGATTACCAAGATTACTCGTATTATAAAGGATAATCTGAAGTGAAGAGGTCATTAAATGTTAGACTATGATTTCCAATGGTGTTATTTTGCTGTTGATTATAATAATATTTCTTGAAGTTCTATTAAATCATACAATGCATTTTCATTTTTTGGCAAAATATCAAAATCATGGTAAAATGACAAGTCAAGAGATGGCAAGAAAGAGTCCTGTATGATATATTTTACATTATAATACTTCCCCAATATATACAATATATATAAGTTTGTGATGTATTCCAGGCTCTACCAAACACTACCTGATTGTGGTCCTATATTATACATTTGGGTAATACTTCCCCAATATATATAAGTTTGTGATATATTCCAGGCTCTACCAAACACTACCTGATTGTGGTCCTATATTATACATTTGGGTAATACTTCCCCAATATATATAAGTTTGTGATATATTCCAGGCTCTACCAAACACTACCTGATTGTGGTCCTATATTATACATTTGGGTAATACTTCCCCAATATATAAGTTTGTGATATATTCCAGGCTCTACAAAACATTACCTGATTGTGGTCCTATATTATACATTTGGGTAATACTTCCCCAATATATATAAGTTTGTGATATATTCCAGGCTCTACCAAACACTACCTGATTGTGGTCCTATATTATACATTTGGGTAATACTTCCCCAATATATAAGTTTGTGATATATTCCAGGCTCTACCAAACACTACCTGATTGTGGTCCTATATTATACATTTGGGTAATACTTCCCCAATATATATAAGTTTGTGATATATTCCAGGCTCTACCAAACACTACCTGATTGTGGTCCTATATTATACATTTGGGTAATACTTCCCCAATATATATAAGTTTGTGATATATTCCAGGCTCTACCAAACACTACCTGATTGTGGTCCTATATTATACATTTGGGTAATACTTCCCCAATATATATAAGTTTGTGATATATTCCAGGCTCTACCAAACACTACCTGATTGTTGTCCTATGTTATACATTTGGGTAATACTTCCCCAATATATACAATATATATATAAGGTTGTGATATATTCCAGGCTCTACCAAACACTACCTGATTGTTGTCCTATGTTATACATTTGGGTAATACTTCCCCAATATATACAATATATATATAAGTTTGTGATATATTCCAGGCTCTACCAAACACTACCTGATTGTTGTCCTATGTTATACATTAGGGTAATACTTCCCCAATATATACAATATATATATAAGTTTGTGATATATTCCAGGCTCTACCAAACACTACCTGATTGTGGTCCTATATTATACATTTGGGTAATACTTCCCCAATATATATAAGTTTGTGATATATTCCAGGCTCTACCAAACACTACCTGATTGTGGTCCTATATTATACATTTGGGTAATACTTCCCCAATATATATAAGTTTGTGATATATTCCAGGCTCTACCAAACACTACCTGATTATGGTCCTATATTATACATTTGGGTAATACTTCCCCAATATATACAATATATATAAGTTTGTGATATATTCCAGGCTCTACCAAACACTATCTGATTGTGGTCCTGAGCTTCAGTGTCATTGCAGTTGTGGCTCAAATATGTTTCCAAATCTACTTGGGTGCAGGGATGTCTCCTTATGGATCAGAGTTCACAAACTGTAAGTTCTAGTATGTTTAGTAAAATATCATTCCAGGGATGTATCTAGTACTGTTCTAGAAAGCATTTATGTATTATTACCTGTCATTGATGTGGCAAGATAAGCCATTATACATTGACACCATTAAAATCACAACAGTCTGCAAAGATCATCCTCAAGAGACTATGATACATACATTTTCTGTTAATACTTCAGCTTGAAAACCTTTTCATATTATGTTTTTGGTACACTCATATATTTGAGGAATGTTTTCCAAACATATGTTCTAACATGACTTTATTCACGTCTTCTATAAACTGTGAACAAAGTCATTATTTCATCAAGTATTTATTTGTCAGTACAATACCTGGCTTTCATGTTCGAATCCTAATAGAGACCTCAGATCAGGTATTTATATCAGTAATTGGGCTAGCCACGAAAGCTTTCAAACCCTGAGGTACAGAAATCTTTTGTGGCCAGCCCTGTCAGTATTCATTCTTGGACTTAATACTTAATAAGGTTGGTATTAGTCTTTTGGTTGAAGAAGGTTTTAATGATACATTTATAGAAGTATGTGTTGACCATTCATTCATGACATTACCATGAATGAAATTTTGTACAAAATTAACTCATTCAAGTCCTTTCTCTTTTAGGTTCTACAAAGGAACAAATCGCAAGAGAAGTTGGGTTCCAGCGTTACGACACAGCATCTCTTGTCAATATATTCCGCCTGGTTACACCTGATGTTGGCATGCTGATTATTTCCGCCATTGTATTTGGCATCTCTAAGGGGCTCCTCCCACAACAAGAGAGCCAATCAGAACTCCCAACAATAAGCCGTCAACCCTCAACGAGCAGAAGCCACACCATCCTTGGTTACCTGGGAGAATTTTTAATGGTGCTTTTCCTGGCAGCATCTGGGATCGCACTGCCATCTATTCTTAATGGAATTTATTTTTTAACATTCCTTGGTATAGCCACCTGGTGGTCATTTTATAGATCACTAGGACGTGTGTTTGCATACCTGCGCTGTATTCTTCTGGTGTATACTGGACTGCATATGACAGTGCTCTATCTCTCACAGTTCCAGACATTCCAACAGAAGGTTCCATATGAAAACCTGTTTGCAAGGTATAATACTGAATATATTGTTTGTAACAGTACTTTGTCCATGCTGTCACCCATGATTGGTATTTTACCACATTTTTACAAATCAGTTAAACAAGGAATGATTTCTGGGAGAGCAATGGTGAGCTGAGATCCAGAAAGGTTTTTTATCAACAACAATTCCGCCATCTTTTTGACAATTATGTAATTTGAGAAATTTCATTAGCAGGAGCAAGTCCTTTATTTGAAGAATCAACACTTTTGATAAAGATATGATTGATCAAAATCAAAGCTCTCAGATATTAAAGAGTGACAAATGGGTGATAACTATAACTACCTCAATTATAAATTGCCTTAAAGATATTTTGAACTCATTTTCATCTTGTTTTCAGAATATTTGGAGTAAGTCCTATAATACAGACAAATTGCGACAGGCCTTGGGAGATAAACTTCCATCCAAATGTGAACTGGCCGCACTTTGCCAATCTTGGAGTCATCCTGGTTCTTTACTACATCCTGGCATTTGAGACACGTCGCTGGTGTCACAAACCAGTAAGTCATCTTGTCAAATTTTTAGATATTTAAATGTTGTGAAAAAGTTGTTAGTTGATATTATTTTGGAACATTGTTGTTTATTTTTACATTCAAAAAGAATACAGGTTTAACCCTAAAAATCATACATACATTCTATTAATTTTAACTAATTGTCAAATATATTTCCAACATATCGATATGCTATTTGGTATTACTTGGTTCAAATTGTTATCCCATCGAACGAAGTTTGGAGGGATATAGGGAACTCCTCCGTCCGTAAAATTCAAGATTGAACCGGGAGAAGAACAAAATATTATACCAAGGATTCATCTTACAATTAAAATGCATAAACAGCCAATTAAATTTAGATATATCATTGGCTCAAAGAAAAGTTCTGTAAAACCAGCTGCCAAAAAACTGACCAAAATTCTTAAACTAGTGCAATATACTAACAAAAGATACTGTGAGAAGATTAAGGATTATACAGGTGCCAATAGGATGTGGATCAGTGACAATAACCAAAATATGTTAGATAACATTAAAAGTGTAAATTTAAGGAACGGGGCAAGAAACATAGCCTCGTATGATTTCTCTACACTATACACAAAGATTAATCTAACTGACATAAAGGAAAAACTGAAATGGGTGATAGATAAAGCCTTCAGAGGAGGAACTAACCAAAAGATAACAGTAGGTGGAGATGAAGCCAAATGGGGTGGAAAGGCGGATAATAAAAAGGCATATACCAAAGGAGAGTGCAATGATCTAGTGGATTTCATCGTGGATACAGCCTACTTTAAAGCAGGGAAATCAATTCTAAGACAGAAAATTGGAATACCGATGGGAATCGATCCGGCGCCATATATGGCAAACCTATACTTATACAGTTATGAATTTCAAGCCATTGAGAAAATGTATAGGGAAGACTACTCCAAAGTACTAAAATATGCTAAAACTACAAGATTCATCGATGATTTATGTACTATAAACAACGACGGAGAAATGGAGACTGATATGAAGAACATCTATCCTGAAGAACTAGTGTTAAACAAGGAAAATGAGAAGGATACAGAAACAACTTTTCTGGACATACAAATGAAAATAGTAAATAAACAAATCACTACAAAACTATACGACAAAAGGGAAAACTTCAATTTCCAAATAGTCTCATATCCTGATCTATCTGGAAATATTCCTAGAAACCAATCTTATGGAATATTTATATCACAAATAATAAGGATTTCAAGAATCTGCAGTCAACTGGAAGATGCAACAAACAGAGTTACCAGCCTGGGAAATAAACTACAATGTCAAGGCTACAGGAGCAACATACTAAATTCGTATACTAAGAAAGCTATAACAAGAAATAAATGGATATGTACTAAATACAATATGCAGGAGAATATCATCATGAAAGACTGGAAAATTAATGAGAGAAGAGAACATTAACAAATGAATATGAAACAGTATCTTCTCCGCAAAGAGGGTAAACTAAGATGACAAATCAGCATAAGACCAACAGTAAGGGGAAGGGGAGAGTTTTCCGGCCGGATCAAAACGTTTAACCCACCTATGCGCAGTCTCAAGTCTGTGGACCCTGAAGAAAGATAAGTAACATCGCAATCAAATCAAGACAATGAAAGAAGAAAATGAATGAAGAAACCAATGCAGCAACAACAAATGACGTCCGTTTTGTGATATTAGTAGGGGCCAGTGAGATACCTAAGGTAAACCTCCTCACTTATAAATTTCACAGTATTGTGTTAAACACATAAGCAGCTAAGAGTTCGCATTCAAAGAAAAGAAGAAACTAGAAGAAGTATTAGAAGAAGTGGTGAGAAGTAAAGAAGAAGAAATAGGAAATAAATTATATATCAAAAGCCGCTATAGGCGTAATGGTTCAAACAAGAAGTCAAAAAGCAGCTGGGGAGCAGCCCTCCCCAATTGTAGCCTCCCCTAGTGTCAAACCAAACTCTAGGAGAAGTAAATGTCTTCGACAGGCTAAAGCTGATGTTGTAGCCCCCAATAAGGATAACGGAGGTAATTCTGAGGATACAGCAGGAGACTCTACTTCGAATAATCCTGGTAATTTGTCAAAGAAATGCGACAAAAGAGGATGTAAACTGTGTAAGTCATATAAAGAAGGAAAATATATTATAGCTAATAACACTGGTAAACAGTATAAAATCAGGACAAACGACCTAAATGAAGTGTCCTGTGAAACAAAAAATGTGATCTACTTGGCTACATGTACATCATGCGGAATTCAGTATGTTGGACAAACGGGCCAGACTGTTAAAGCAAGATTCAATGACCACAGAAGTAGGATTAAAAACAACAAAGGAACAAACAGTATGATCTTTGCGAATCACTTCAATGAAGGCCCATGTAAAGATTCAGAATATAATGTACAAATAATTGAAAGAGTTCCAATAGAGGATAAGAAAATTAGCAAACTAAGTAAAAAATATGAAATCAAAAAGGCAGCAGACCAAAAACAAAGAGAGGACAAGGAGTCATACTGGATAAAGAAATTCCAATGTGTACACCCATACGGATTAAACAACAGACTGGAGAAAAATCTTCAGCAAAGAACAAAAGATGATGTAATATACAACGACTTTGATAACAAACGGAAGAAGAAAAACAAAAGGCCAAAGGGAAACCACCGTAAAGAAAAGGCATTAAAAGCCAATGACGTATTTGAAACTTTAGTGGAACAAAGCAATGGAAATGTACTGGCAGGTATGAAAACAATCTTGAGATTAGTCCCACAAATGAAGAAGACAGAATTGAAAAAACTTGGAATGATAAATATAGAAGATAATGATAGACTACACACACGACTTAAAATTACTCTGGAGGACAGAATCCAATCAAAACTTAGGAAAAACAATGAACTAAAGACCAAGAATAGGAAAAAGAAACCAACAAAATTCTGTAAAATACTATTTGAAAACAAAGCAGTAGAAGTAATCAACATTGCAAATATCTTAAGAGATGAAGAAGTGATCAAGACAATACCTTCAAGTATCAAAAATAAGGAACCACCAGGAATTGTCTATATATACACAAAGCCAATAAGGAATAAATTGTTCAACTATAGTGAGATTACAGAAAGTATCGACGAAGGCAACAATACAGGAGAATGTGATTGTAATACATCTGAATTTAAGGATGAAGACCATGGTCACGTCATAACAGGAAATCTGAAGATTATACAAAATTCAAAATTGAGAAAGCTATTTAGTAAAGGTCCTGGCTATAGAGAAAAACGAAATATTAACTTCAGGAAAGCAAAAGAAGAAATAAAGAAAGGAATAGATGAATATGCAATAAGTTGGACAAAAAATGAAAAAGTTTCAAAAGTATACTTAAATGAATGGAAAAATACTGTAATGGAAAAGGTTAAACAAAAGATTGAGTTACTTCAAAATACAAAATTTAGACATATTAAAAATCCAAAGCAGACACTAAAGGACCATAATGCTATGGAAGAACTCAATCAACTCAAGGAAAAATATGCCATTGTACCTATTGATAAGGCAGCAAATAATATTGGGTTTATGTGCAAACAATACTACATAAAGAAGATTAAAGAGGAAATTGGGAGTGACACCTATCAAAGGATAGAAGATAAAGGAGAAGAAGATATAGTGGAGGAAATCAAAGAGACAATGAAAACAAAATTCAAGATTGAACCGGGAGAAGAACAAAATATTATACCAAGGATTCATCTTACAATTAAAATGCATAAACAGCCAATTAAATTTAGATATATCATTGGCTCAAAGAAAAGTTCTGTAAAACCAGCTGCCAAAAAACTGACCAAAATTCTTAAACTAGTGCAATATACTAACAAAAGATACTGTGAGAAGATTAAGGATTATACAGGTGCCAATAGGATGTGGATCAGTGACAATAACCAAAATATGTTAGATAACATTAAAAGTGTAAATTTAAGGAACGGGGCAAGAAACATAGCCTCGTATGATTTCTCTACACTATACACAAAGATTAATCTAACTGACATAAAGGAAAAACTGAAATGGGTGATAGATAAAGCCTTCAGAGGAGGAACTAACCAAAAGATAACAGTAGGTGGAGATGAAGCCAAATGGGGTGGAAAGGCGGATAATAAAAAGGCATATACCAAAGGAGAGTGCAATGATCTAGTGGATTTCATCGTGGATACAGCCTACTTTAAAGCAGGGAAATCAATTCTAAGACAGAAAATTGGAATACCGATGGGAATCGATCCGGCGCCATATATGGCAAACCTATACTTATACAGTTATGAATTTCAAGCCATTGAGAAAATGTATAGGGAAGACTACTCCAAAGTACTAAAATATGCTAAAACTACAAGATTCATCGATGATTTATGTACTATAAACAACGACGGAGAAATGGAGACTGATATGAAGAACATCTATCCTGAAGAACTAGTGTTAAACAAGGAAAATGAGAAGGATACAGAAACAACTTTTCTGGACATACAAATGAAAATAGTAAATAAACAAATCACTACAAAACTATACGACAAAAGGGAAAACTTCAATTTCAAATAGTCTCATATCCTGATCTATCTGGAAATATTCCTAGAAACCAATCTTATGGAATATTTATATCACAAATAATAAGGATTTCAAGAATCTGCAGTCAACTGGAAGATGCAACAAACAGAGTTACCAGCCTGGGAAATAAACTACAATGTCAAGGCTACAGGAGCAACATACTAAATTCGTATACTAAGAAAGCTATAACAAGAAATAAATGGATATGTACTAAATACAATATGCAGGAGAATATCATCATGAAAGACTGGAAAATTAATGAGAGAAGAGAACATTAACAAATGAATATGAAACAGTATCTTCTCCGCAAAGAGGGTAAACTAAGATGACAAATCAGCATAAGACCAACAGTAAGGGGAAGGGGAGAGTTTTCCGGCCGGATCAAAACGTTTAACCCACCTATGCGCAGTCTCAAGTCTGTGGACCCTGAAGAAAGATAAGTAACATCGCAATCAAATCAAGACAATGAAAGAAGAAAATGAATGAAGAAACCAATGCAGCAACAACAAATGACGTCCGTACGTCTGTCCGTCTGTCCACCCATCCGGGCAATAACTCAAATACCATTGGCTCGATTTTGTTCATATTTTGTACACATATACCTTATGGGGATAGAAATTCTGCTTGAAAGCTGATTTTCAAAATGGCCGCTTATTTAAAAATGGCGGCCATTTTAGTGCCGATTTTACAGTAATTTAGGTACAATATGTAAAACTGTAATAGCAATACTTGTATGTTTTAAATGTAAAAAAATTATATAGGACATTAATAAAGCTAGAAATGCAGGTATTAAAGAATTACATGGCAGCCATCTTGAAAAATAGCGGCCTTTACTCGCTATTTTACGATTTTTGCTGTAACTCAAAAAGTAGTGGAGCGATTTTGTTCATATTTGGTATGTGAATACTATAAGCATGTCACACTGTCTAATGACACTTTTGGTAGAAGGCGGCCATTTTTCACCATTTTGAAAGGTAGACTTTTGGTAGAAGGTGGCCATTTTGAAAAATGGCCGCCATTTTTTCTATATACTTTGTTTGTAAAAATGCCAGCCATGGCTGTTCGATGGGATTTGCTACGCTTTGGCGTTGCTGTTGTCTAGTTTGATTACTCCTAGTTTTATATGTAGGTGGAAATATCGATTTCATACTCTTTGTTGGAATTGGCACATGAGGTGTTACAGGTATACACGCACAGTAAGCGTGTGCTCTAACACACATACAATAAGCGTGTGGTCTGATATGCCATTAATCAGTGTGCCAAATTCAATGCCAAGTTTTTAGCATGTGACCGTTTACCACTACCTGGAATTATCTCAATAAATACATATTAATAAACAAATAGTTACAGCAGTTTGTAACTGTTTAATCAAACACAACATTCAAGTTTACTTTTTGGGAATTTGGAATTAATTAATGCATTTTGTAGCTTTTTATGTGGAAAATTATAATTTTATTGTTTATGTATTATTGCATTTATGATTGCTTTGCATGTATTCTGCTTAATTGCATTTCAGATGAACTTTGTGCATGTCAAGCAAAGTTCTCGCTATGTGTACAAGGGGCCCTGTGATGAAGTGTCGTCTGCTTCTCTAAGCCAGAATGAGGCAGGCTCTATGACTGTGGTGTGTTGGCACAAACATTTGTGTTTTTGGCTATGCAATTTCGACATCTTGTTTTTATAATATTTGTAGACCTTATATAGAGTAGAATGGTTTTCAGGCCTGAATAGATGGAATTGTTGGATTCTATCATACTTAAACCAATTCATGAAACATTTGTTTACAGTATTCATGTACTGAAATAATTCTTGTCAGCTGTTATCAGCAAGATTATTTGACTTATATATTTTAATTCCCCACAGTGGCGATGCACTGTGTAATAGGTAATGCGATTTCAATATGAAGAAAAGAACAAAAAGGCTCATAGCCCAAATTACATGGCCGCATGTTTTCAACAAAAAAAGCTCATTCAAGTGCACTCACACTCACATAATTCTTTTGAAAGACATCTCAGTTTATTGCAATTGAGTTCCTGTTGCGCACTAGCAACAAGCAAGCATGGTTGACACGCGGGGAGCTGACATAGGTTGCCACAGCGTAATTAGCGGTTTAAGTGTGCTTGGATTAACTGCTTTTGTTGAAAACATGTGAGCATGTAATTTTTTTTAACACATGGGCTCATTGTTCTTTTTCGTGTTACATAGGGGGAATACTTATATATTATGCGCTTGTCAACTGGCAGTTCAAAAACAATCCCCAAGACTACCTCAAATCACCAGATAATTCATTCTACTTGACTCACCTTAATGAGTCAATTTTTTATTGAAGTTTGACCATTTGAAATAACTTTCCAAGGGGTGACACCATGTCTTGTCACTAGTGACTTATTGTCTAGTGACTATTTATTTATTCTAATACAATTTTAACAAATGCACATCATGTTAGAATCAGCAGTTGCACCATTTTATAGAATGTTAATTTGTATGAATAATACTAATAGTTGCACCATTTTATAGAATGTTAATTTGTATGAATGATACTAATAGTTGCACCATTTTATAGAATGTTAATTTGTATGAATGATACTAATAGTTGCACCATTTTATAGAATGTTAATTTGTATGAATGATACTAATAGTTGCACCATTTTATAGAATGTTAATTAGTATGAATGATACTAATAGTTGCACCATTTTATAGAATGTTAATTAGTATGAATAATACTAATATGAGTTGAATGTGAATTGTTTTGCAGACATCTGATTAATGAAGGTTTTTTCTGTTTCCAGACTATAACATAGTAATTCCTTGCACTGTAATTTTAGATTTTTATCAAATAATTCTTGCATGTAGAAACCTGTCAAAAATGGGTCAAGCTAATAGGATGCTGTATTGCTCAATTTAGAAATGGTAGTTGTTGCTAAGCAAAGCTTTTCTTGGAAGGTTAAGCATAATCTTTGCGTCAGTTTCAGTTTTTTCTCTACTAATAGTTTGAGTATGAAATTTTAGTTGATATTTGATAGCAACATTGAATGAAAAGCTTAAACATGTGCATTCCATGTAATCATTTCATGTCATATACAGAGAGTTTATTCATAACATCCTCAGATTCATGCATGTCCATTTTAAAGTCCCTGTGCATAATACTTCTATTTACATATTCACAGACAGTGAGCATTTTTAAAAATTGATTTACCAATGATCCATTTTGTCATATACAGCATGGTTACATGTTTATATATCATTATGAGCATTTGAATTTTCAACATAGTACACAACCTAGCATCATTCAGTCTAGCTTCAAGCCCTAAATGGTTGCCAATTAAACAGTGCTTTAAGGAAGGCTCTCATCCCCACCCCCTTAAAACGTAGTTCTTTAAATTTTGAAAATCTGGACAGAGAATTGAAATAAAAAAAAGTAAAACTTGCCAAATATATGACAGAGATTTTTATAAGAATGATGGTTAGCATTACAGTGTCACTTTACAATATCTTTGAATGCAGTAAAGCTCAGATTTTATGAAATTTCAAAACATTGATTTTGTTGGATAAAATTTTTTTCAGTATTGAAACCCCTGCCCCAAAACTTCATTAGTTAAGTTTCTAAACAGACATTGATCTTTTGATGCCTCCCCTTAGCTTGGCTGTTTTGTGAAAAGCATACTTGTCAACCTAAAATGATACAATTTTGCTGTATAAAAAATTATGGGAGATTTGCATTAAAATGTTAAGTTGGCAAGTCTATATAGATCCCTTTATCAGCCCATATTCCCATGTAGCATTCCATTATCTGCATCTACATTAAACTAGGTTGCCATGGTTTTTCTATGGATGAAGTATATTTGGTGAAAACTGTACATTTGTATTCCCTTGCTACCCTATGGTTATAGTACATCTAACCAACATTTCTGTTGTATAAGGTGTCAAGGTTCGAGAAGTATATATAATGTCATGCTTGTTTTCCCCATCACGAGAATAAAACAGTACTAGAAGATATTTTTGATCCCACCGAAAGAAGTTCCAGGGAAATAAATGGAGAGATGTCTGTCTATTTGTCCAATCATGTGTCAGGGCGATAACTCAAATACTGGTTGATGGATTTGGTTCAAATTTCATAGGATTTTGTTCAAATTTTATAGGCTTATGCCTGATGGGCATAGAACCTCTGCTCGAGAAGAACTTTTCAATATGGCCACTCAATTCAAAATGGCTGCCATTTTTATAAAATAGTAATTGAGGGATTTGATTCAAATTTTATATCCCGATACCTAAAGGCAAATGAGCTTTGCTGGAGATGAGATTTTCAAGATGGCTGCTGAATTTTAAAATGGTGGCCTTTTTCTTACAAATATGTAATCCTTGATATCTCAAGTCCCAGTGGATGGATTTGGTTCAAATTTTGTATGCTCTTGCACAGGAGTTCTTGCCAAGAAGGAATTTTAAAGATGGCAGTCGAGTTTCAAAGTGGCCACCATTCTTTGACAGAATGTAATTTTTGATAACTCAACTAGTTGATGGATTTGGTTCAAATTTTGTATGCTGATGCCTTGAGATAAAGGATGGTTACTGAATTTCAAAATTTTATGGTGAAGTGGTGACATATTGTTATCTCTGGTTTTTACGGCTGTTGAAAGTTGGCGATCAGCGTTTGGCATCTGTAACAAATTCTTACAACTTCCAATAACTTTACAAATACTGTTTAGACTGACTTCAATCTTTTTCAAAATCATCCACAAGTTTTCAGAACTTGGAATATGACTTAATATTTCAGATTTGACCTTCAATGACCTTTTCAAGCTCAAAGAGAGTTAAATCAGTATTTTTTCGACTTGCTTCAAATTGACCAATTTTTCATCTACAAGTTATCAGAAGTTCAAATCTGACTTAAGATTTCAGATTTTACCTTCAATGACCTTCTAATGGTCAAAAAAGGCCAAAAAGATATTTTTCAACTTGCTACAAATTGACCAATCTTTTTTCAAAATCAACTAGTTCTCAGAAATTCAAATCAAACTTAATATTGAACTCATAATATTGTGAGCAACTAGGTGGTGACATTTTGTCATGTAAATGCCTTCTTGTAAAATTTTGTTCAGCGTTTGGTGGTATTTGCTACCCCGTGTAGTTGCTGTTTTCTATAATTGTATTTTTGGTTTTTAATCGCAATATAATTTTGTTTCAATTACATAAATAAAAATTACCCTTTGAGATATAGTGATAGACGTTTTTTGTGAATTATATTTAAAGACAAATCATGACATTTTATATACAACCTACAAGATCATGTACAGGGTGTCAAAAAACAACGGTACCCCCCTCTACATAAAGTACTTAATGTTACATGGTGTGTCATATCTCATTTTAAAGACAATTTAATTCTGGAGTTACCTGAGAAATTTCAGCTTTATATCTTATAATGTTACAGATTTACAGCTGATTCTTAGTAGTTGGTATGACTACCAGTTGCTGCTTGAAAACAGCTTATCTGGAAGGATATGATTTCAATGAAAATTCAGATAAATGTGTAGCATTGCATAATCCTCTAAGCACTCTCCTCACATTCTTCAGAAATACATCCCCACTGTATCTTTTTTAAAGAGACTCTTCGTCCATCAGTTCCTATACCATGTTTTTCAGAACTGAACCCATCTGCCATTGTAGTTGAAATCTGGGCTAATTCTTTCATATTCCACTTTCTTAAGATTTGATCTTTAACCAGTAACAGAGCAGCAAACAAAGTAGCAAACTTAAAAACAATTTAGCTTTTTTAATATACAGTTTTATTACATGAAATTTGAGGAGTAACTCCAGAATTAAATTATCTTTCTAATGAGGTATGACACGATATGGAACATTAAGGACTTTTGGCTGTAGAGGGGGGTGCCATAGTTTTTTGACACCCTGTATATTGTGATTTGTTAGTCAGGAAGATGTGGTTACCTTACTTCCCTTGCTTTGGTGCGAGATGCTAAACTTATTACTGTTCATCCTATAGGTGTCAGGATTTGGCGATGATGTCACAGGTTCACCTAGCCTCGGGAGTCCATCATTACTAGCCCCGCCTAAACGAACGAAGCGTCGTAAACGATCTGACGAGCGTCAGGTATTGCGGAGCACAACTGATGAGGTTTGGTGGACAATACAACTCATACTCCCATGCATATTGTCAAAAAGTGACTCTTCTGTTGGTGAAACACAGAGTTGTGTCTATAAAAATGCTTCTGATTTCTACGCACATTGTCAAAATACCATGATGTTGAAACAATGCCTGACATCCATGTTGATGTTGAAACAATACAAGCCATTTCAATTTACTTGTTAACATATGTTGAAACAATACATGCAATTTCAATTTGCTTGTTAACATATGTTGAAACAATACATGCAATTTCAATTTGCTTGTTAACATACTGTTTTGTCAATCTTGTTATCAAAAGAACAGAGGTCATTGTTTTGAGATCATAATATTTGTACATATGGATGTAGATTATAGTCTCAGATCTGCAGTTTTGTAGACACAACGTTGTGGGCATCCATTAGAAGACAGTCAAAGTGTTGTTTATTTAGATCAATGTGAGCACTTTGCAGAACACATTTTCAGTGTTATTATCTTAACGGAATAAAGTTATAATATTGAGAAAATATTATAATGTGTGAACCAGTATATATTCAAATGTGATTCAATTGAGATTCAAATAATAAAAATTAATATTTATTAGCTCATCGACTTCAAAAGATTGTGTGTTATGAAAAAACATAATAACCTTTTGATATATTATGCTTAATATGTATGCTGCTGTGTTCTAATCCTTGACATTTACTCTGAAAATACACTGAATCCACTCTATGTGTGAATATATATATATATGTGTTTTGCAAAGTTATTCCCAGGTTCTTTTACATTTGACATTAATATACAATGTACAGGGTGTCCTACAGGCAGTGGAGCATAAACTGTTATTTTTCTTTGCTATTTATGGAACACCCTGTATTTATGTATATTTGATGCATTATGTCAGAACCTTCTTAGATGTCAATATTTTTTCATTTTATAGAAATGACAATATGTTTTTTTTGTATTATTTTTGAGTGACAACACCTGAAATAGATTTAGTCATTCATTGTCATCTTCGGGTCTTTTTGGAATTTTGCAATTTATTATTGTGCTTCTGAAAACTCATGGTTTTCTTGGTTGCCCATTGTATATTGAAAAATGTGAATGTAAATGACAATTCATAAAAGAGATTTGTATTTCTACAATATTGATTTACTGCTAATGATACATTTACAAAGTAAACATCTACATGGGCAGTTGACATTTTGAAATCTTGATATATATTTTTGAAAATATGCTCTTGCAAATTTTGATTAAAAGATCTGCATTCATTGTAAGTAAAATAAAAATGAGGAATTGCTTTTTATGAGACAAAATAGATAACCAATGAAAACCATGAGCTTTGGTAGGTTTTACAAGAAGATACCAACTCCACAATGATTCTAACATTTTTTCATCTTGACAATTTCACCCCTCCCACTTGCAGCCTTTTTGCTTTCCTTGTCATTTCTTCTTCCTTTCAACTGGTTCGCTTTCTCCAACTCTGCACATTGTCACACATCAGACAATCCCTATCAACAATCATTCATATATCATGTTGAATGATCAAAATGTTTCAGTTTTAAAGATGTCTCCTTGATTCATTCATAACTAGACATGTAAATTGAACAAGTTCAATTTAAGACTCCAGATTTCAAACTTTTTTTAAGCTGAGTCATCCAAAATACTGTAAGCTGAGCCATTCAGAATAAGCTGAGCCATCTAGAATATAGACATTTAGACAACTCTTAAGTAGGTTATCTTCGTCTCCATTGGCTTAACATGGGGATATCATAATATCGACTTTTCGAGACTTCAAACAGCTATAACTATCTAACCAGAATTTGGGTCGAAATTTGGTTTGCAGATTCGAATTTCTGAGAAAATTCTACGTTTGTGTCATAACTCATACATTAAATCTTGAGAACTTTTTGTGTTGACCTACTTTCCGGACGCCATTCCTCAAAATCGGTAAGAGTAATAAAAAAAGACAGTTACAATAATGAAAGGACTGTCTTTAAGCTACATGATGAAAAAAGATAAAGGAATAACGACGAATAGTGACAAAGATAATTGACATAACATGGGATATCAAAATACCAATTTTTTAATTTTTCAAAACGCCATTACTTCCAAACTGGGTGTCGGATTGAAATTTGATTTGCAGATTCGGATTCCTGAGAAAATTCTACCCTTAATTCATAACTCATACGTTAAATTTGGAGAAACTTTCATGTTGACCTACTTTTAGGACACTATATCTCAAAAGTGGGTCAAAATACATTCTGACGGCAAAAGGCTAACACTATAAGCACACTCTTTGCTACCTGTATACAAACTTTTGAAGCAAATAATTAAAGTGTAGTGTCAGAATCGCAAAAATAAGTTAAAACTATAAATTTGACCTAGATTTTGACCTAGGCATTTTGGTGTCCAAAGTGTGAAGCTAGCCAGCTTTTGAGGTCCCTTTCTTTTATAGGCTTTCATTATGTAAAGCTGTACTCAGTCTACATCTCGTATTTTACACTTCAAAAAAATCTTTTTTCCCATTGCCATAACATTAGGCACCAAATTTAGCGATTTTTGAGCTTTCAAAACGACATAACTTCCGAACCAAAAGTCAGATTGAAATTTGGATTGCAGATTTGGATTCCTGAGAAAATTCTACCCTTAATTCATAACTCATACGTTAAATTTGGAGAACTTTTTAGTTTGACCTACTTTTCGGACACCATATTTCAAAAGTGGGTCAAAATACTTTCTGACGGCAAAAAGCTAACACTATTAGCACACTCTTGGCTACATGTATACAAAATTTCGAAGAATATAATTAATGTGTAGTGTCAGAATCGCAAAAATAAGGAAAAACTTTGAATTTGACCTAGATTTTGACCTAGGCATTTTGGTGTCCAAATTTTTATGAAAAGAAGGTCTTGAGGTCCCTTTCTTTTATGGGCTTCCATTATGTTTAGCTGTGCTTAGTCTATATCTCGTATTTTACACTTCAAAAAAATATTTTTTCCCATTGAATTAACATGGGGCACCAAATTTAGCGATTTTTGAATTTTCAAATCGCCATAACTTCTGAACCGGAAGTCAGATCGAAATTTGGTTTTCAGATTCGGAATCCTGAGAAAATGATATCCTGGACATTGGATTCGGAGAAATTTTTTTTGGACCTCGTTTTCGGACACTGATATCTCGAAATCGGTTTGAGATACCAAAAAACTAAATCAACCCTAGATTTCTACTTTTTTATGAGGAATACAATGAAAAAAAAACGGATCAAAAATATTGAAGGACGACCGAGATAATTGGAAAAAGTGACAAAGTACTGGAGTTGACCTAGTTCTTGACCTTTGACCTAGATAAAAATTTGACCTAATTTCCCAGAAAGCCGGATACAGTCTTTAGTTAACCATGTAAGTTGGATTAAGTAAACTGTTATAGTTGACGAGAAATTTGGTGAGGAGGAAGAAAAAAGAATAACTAGATTTTGGAAATTGAACAAGTTCAATTTCAGACTCCAGATCTAGACTTTTTTTTAGCCGAGTCATCCAGAATAAGCCGAGTCATCCAAAATAAGCTGAGTCATCCAGAAAAAGATGGATGGATGGATGGATGAAAAAGGAAGGAAGGATAGGATAGAATAGGAATGAACGATAGGATAAAATAAGAAAGAAGGATAGGATAGAATAGAATAGGAAGAAAGGATAGGATAGGATAGGAAGGAAAAGAAACGAAGGAAGGATAGATAGGAAGGATAGGATAGGATCAGATTGGAAGGATGGATAAATTTTTCAATATTTTCTTCTCTACTCTTGACTTTCTATCAGGATACCATCAGATCGATTTTTCTCGAAATTTCAAAACGCCATAACTTCCGAACCGGAAGTCGGATCGAAATTTAGTTTGCAGATTCGGATTCCTGACAAAATTTTAAAAAAATATCTCAAAAGTGGGGCAAAATACTTTCTGACGGCAAAAGGCTATCACTATTAACACTCTTGGCTACATGCATACAAAATTTCGTAGAATATAATTAATCTGTAGTGTCAGAATAGCAAAAATAAGGAAAAACTTTGAATTTGACCTAGGCATTTTGGTGTCCAAATTTTGAAGCTAGATGGCTTTTGAGGTCCCATTCTTTTAAAAGCTTTCATAATATTTAGCTGAACTCAGTCTATATTTCGTATTTTTCACTTCAAAAAAATCTTTTTTCCCATTGACTTAACATGGGCACCAAATGTAGCGATTTTTGAGGTTTCAAAACGCCATAACTTCCGAACCGGAAGTCTGATTTGAATTTGGTTTTCAGATTCGGAATCCTGAGAAAATTTCCTATAATTTGATTTGGAGAACTTTTTTTTGGACCTCGTTTTCGGACACTGATATCTCGAAATCGGTTTGAGATATCAAAAAACTAAATCGACCCTAGATTTCCTACTTTTTTTATAAGGAACACAATGAAAAAAAACCGGATCAAAAATATTGAAGGACGACTGAGAAAATCGAAAAAAGTGACAAAGTACTGGATTTGACCTAGTTCTTGACCTTTGACCTAGATAAAAATTTGACCCAATTTCCGAGGAACTAGATTCTGGACCTAAATTGACCAAATGACTGACTTTACTGAAAACCTTATGGTTATTGAGAAAACTGGTTTAGAAAAATAATAAGAATAAGAAGAAGAAAACTGACGAAAACAATAGACTCCAGATTTCATCTGGAGTCTAATAATAAAGAAAACAGGCAAAAACAATAGACTCCAGATTTTCAATCTGGAGTCTAATTATTAGTTAAAGAGAATATGTTTATCCATGTACATTAAAATATTGCCAGTCAAACTTTACTATTTTATTTGTACCTGTTTTCTAACATAGTGTTATATGCAAATGTAAACAATATTTCCCATAGTGCTTTGTTACAAAGTAATGCATGCTCTCTCTAAGCATCTTATATTGTCTATCTCTTAGTATGATTAAACGTATCATTAATGCATGAATGACATGCTTGTAATCACTATACATACATAGTATCTTTCATTCATGCATGGCATCTTTTGTGTGAATGGATTCTTTCATTCATGCATGGCATCTTTTGTGTGCATGGATTCTATCATACATGCATCGAATTGTTCATACATGCCTGACATATCTTGTGCATAAGTGATGTTTTGAAGAATAACATCTCAATTATATTTCTATACCCTACCCAAACTATAAACAACTTCTGATTTTATAATACTGTCTGAAATAATGGCTTTTGAAATACTTGCATGCAGCTCCTTTTTCATTAACGCTTTAGAGGTTTCTCTGTTTTTCCTTAATTAAATGTGACAATGAATGATGCCATCTTAAAGTGTACTTCAAGTTCCATTTGAGACCAATGTGACTAATGGTGCATGATGCATGCAGTTTAAAGGTTCTCCACCAGGCTAAGTTGTTTATTTAACAATTTTTAGTACTTAGTTAATCTAGATGGCTAATTAATTGCTGCATTAAAGTTGGCTTTAAGAAAGTTAAGATATAAATAGAATAATACATGTATCCTGCATGTATTTTTATAAGTGTAGATGTAGACAATTAAAATAACATCCTTTCAATGTAAAACTCTTTTCTCAATTCATATTAGTCCATATACCTATAGGGTCTTGTTGCATATGTATTGTAATGTAGTGAGATGGCTTCCTTTGTGTTGTTGATATCATGCTTTCTACAAATTGTACACATTTACACCTAGACCATAATACAGTGTTTCATAAGAATATAAATTGTACACATTTAAGCCTAGACTACAATACAGTGTGTTTCATAAGAATACAAATTACACACATTTACGCCTAGACCATAATACAGTGTGTCTCATAAGAATACAAATTGTACACATATACACCTAGACCAAATACAGTGTTTCATAAGAATACAAATTGTACACATACATCCCTAGACAATAATACAGTGTGTTTCATAAGAATACAAATAGTACACATATACACCTAGACCATAATACAATGTGTTTCATGAGAATACAAATATCCAAGACCATAATACAGTGTGTCTCATAAGAATACAAATTGTACACATATACACCTAGACCATAATACAGTGTGTTTCATAAGAATACAAATTGTACACATATACACCTAGACCATAATACAGCATATTTTATAATAATTAAAATTGTACACATATACACCTAGACCATAATACAGTGTGTTTCATAAGAATACAAATTGTACACATATATGCCTAGACCACAATACAGTGTGTTTCATAATGCAAATTGTACATATTTTAGCCTAGACCATAATACAGCATATTTCATAATAATTAAAATTGTACACATATGTGCCTAGACTATAATACAGTGTGTTTCATAAGATACAAAGTGTACACATATATGCCTAGACCACAGTACAGTGTCTTTCATAAGAATACAAATTGTACACATATTAACTTGGACCATAATACATTGTGTTTCATAAGAATACAAATTTTACACATATTAGCCGAGACCATTATACATTGTGTTTCATATTAATGCAAATTGTACACATATACACCTAGACCATAATACAGTGTGTTTCATATTAATGCAAATTGTACACATATACACCGAGACCATAATACAGTGTGTTTCATAAGAATACAAATTGTACACATATACACCTAGACCATAATATTTTGTGTTTCATATTAATGCAAATTTTACACATATACACCTAGACCATAATACAGTGTGTTTCATAAGAATACAAATTATACACATATTAGCCAAGATCATTATAATCTTACAATGTACGTTATAAGAAAGCTCCTTTTAATCAATCTTAAGACTACATACTGGTTATTATATCATTAGTTGTAGTTGCCAAATATTAGCTGAATTATTATGAAAGACCCTGTATATCTTATTGCGATTAGTGTTATTGTGATTATTGTACTTTGTGAGAATATTTATATCACTATGAAACACCCTGTACATCTTATTGTGATTAGTGTGCTATTTGAGAATTTTAAATATGTTCCAATTCTACAGGTTTTAATGTACTTGTACTTTTAACCTTTACCATGCTGCCTTATTTCAGCAAATATATCCCACGCATCTGGCTTCTTTTTCAAAGAGTGCAAAAAATGATATGCCTGGACTAAATAATTAATATCTCAATAACTACTGAATGAATCTGGATAAAATTTTCACAAAGGGAAGATACAGTGGCCTGGCTCATGAAAAATATGAATATTTTTCGTACAATAACATGACTGGGCATAAATATACCATGAATACTCCTCCGAAATCCGCCGCTCTGCCCCTTCGTCTGGTCAGAATTCAAATCTGAATTTGCAGCGATCGAATGTTCAATTTTTCAATTCAGAAAATATTCTAGTTTCTATTTTCGATGACCATTATCGGCTTCCAAGAGCCTAAAGAGCTCGAAATCGTAGTTCATTTCCTCCACATTGTCGTTGTGATCGTATTTGTCCGCCATTTTGTACGATTTGTTCACTTAAAACGACTAAAACACTGTTTAAATTGTTGAATTGAGAATTATTTTTCGAAATATCGCCATTTTTAGGTCAACAGGAAGTCATGTTAGGCACTGAATAAATCGGGCAATCTAATTGGACAATACGAATGGCGCGAAAAAGTAAAGTTTTTAAAAGTTTGAAATTGGGCGTACGGGTCCGCCGGCAGTTGTGAGAGACATTTTAGTCTCGGCGGACGAGTCCGCCGGCAGCACGCTAAAGGTTAAACAGTTCAAACATTGTCTGATTGCTTTGTACAACCAGGGGGTAGAAACACTTATTTTTGTGGGGTACACAGAGAAAAAAAACAATATAAAAATGGCCATAATTTATTAGAATGTTAATTGGGTGTAGTTTTAATTTGTGGTTGGTATTTTGAATACTTGCTCACCTGCCAGATCTTTGTTTAAAATCAAAACATTTCGGTGGCTGTCAATTTATAAAAACAATGACATGTTACCTAAAAGTACATTCACAGAATACCAAGCAAAAAAACTATACCTACCTGTTTACTGTACGAAAATATTCCACATGTTTCCAACTTTCTACCCCCTGACAACTGAGATTTAGAAAGTATATGATTTATTTAATATTATTTGCTATACTCTAAATATCATATTTCCAGTCTCTCATAGATGAAGCGGAACGAGGTAAAACTTATAGCTCAATAGAGGAAAGGAGTGAGGGTGCTGGAACAGCCACTGCTGATGATGTTGAATCAGAAGGGGAGCATACAGTAGATGGAACAGTCAAGAAATCGTATGAAAAGAGGTCACCCGTGGTCTCTGTATTTGTGTTTCTCATGAAACAAAGCTACGTCTGTTCCTTGATAGTCATGATGGTAAATAATAGTTATTTAAAGTGACCAGCTTAATATGTTGTTGATTTACCGTTACAAATTAATTATGTTTTAAGGAAGAAGTGAAATTATGTTCGATATTGTAATTTATTATGCACCCCATGCCAGATTTTTCTAAATATCCCTTTTGAGAAAATATTGGTCAGGAGACTGTCCAATATATTTTGAAGATATTTTTTATAATTTCACTATAATTTGAGTATTAATTAAAATGAATGCATTATGTGTCAAACAAAAGAGAAAGGTGTACCTAATCATTTAAAACATTTATTAGTCAGAACTTGTGTGCAATACAACAGTGAAATGCTATATAAAATGTGGAAATTTAATGTGATCATGGTGTGTATTCCTGAAATCATATGTCTATTCTGAGAGTGTGACATCACTCCAGATGACGTCACACCCGGAATTACCAATACCATGACATTTATTAAAATCCCATAGAAAAGATAGCCATGGTTTGTTTAGGCTATTATGGTATCCTTTGCTTTCATTGTCTGTTTGTTGTGATTTGACATAAACATTATTTCATTGAGCCTACCACCAATGGGTACTGGATCAGGCTAGGGATCTGTGAATGTAACGGTACACTCAAAATATTGCTTGAGAAGGTTCATAATAAAACAAATACTGGATGATCAGAAGCTGAATATGGCTACCGCCTCGCCCAATATTTATTTCTCAAATAGGCATTCTGCCATATCAAGCTTCTGATCATCCGGTATTTGTATAATATGCATCAGTTTATGAAAAAGCAACTTAGATTGATCCAACAAAATGTTTGATTTCCTTTTTAGAGGGATGATGGGTCAATCTGAAAAGAAATCTTAGAATTCAATTATTTACACTTTGGTCAACATCAAAATATTTACCAGTTTAGTACATTAGGATAATTCCCAATATGACTTTTGAAGTGATGTATTTTACACTTATTTCATTTCAAACCTAAACCAATTATTTTCATCAAAAATGATTTGATTTTCTTTGACAGGTTTGGAGCATAACATATCATTCCTGGCTGACCTTCGTCTTCTTGCTAGGGGCTTGCCTTATATGGATGTACCCTAGATCACGTGACCTCTACCTGACCTTGTCCCCTGTTGTCCTATTCTACGCCATAGGGCTACTGATCATACAGTATGTGTACGGGATGAACCTCAGCGAAGAAGAGCTTCCCACAGAGGCAAATGGCTACAAATTTGCCCAGATTGGATTGGTTAAATATGACCCATATCCCATGGCCTGTCTGCATCTAGCTCTTAAGGTAACCTGTTTAGTAATTCTGAGTGTTTGATTTGAGTGGCCCACAACTGGGTATTCGTATGTCTGTTTATTGGTGCACAGAAAAGAACACAGGGCTTCACCAAGGAAGGGTTACTGGCTCTGTCTATGAGTGTAAAATATGTAAAATAAGGAATATACAAATGATGTCGTTCACCAAAATATGATGGTAACCAAAATACAATATAAAAGGACACTTTGTCAGCCATTAGAGTTAGTAATGTTAAGATAAATATGTGTCTTTGAAGATAAAACAGTGCTTTGAAATACTCTTTAAGGCACTCTTCTTCTAAGTTTGATTTTAATAAAATACTTTGAAAACAGGGCACAAGAATTAAAGTAATTACAATTTCAAATGTGGATTTGTACTATTATGTTTAATACTAATACTAATATTATGTTTTTTTCTCATATTCTATTTCCAGTGTGTTTTCACTGTTATGTTTTGGTTGACATTACGTCAGTCAATGAGAGAGCGTCAGATGAGGCGTGATGATGCCTACATGCATGGCCTTGCATTGGAACCAGTTGACAATAATGGGCATGGTCCTAACAATACTCAGGCCACAATATCAGAGGCTGTCCGTAAGTTTTACACAGACTTTGTTACATGTCAGGCAAAAGTGGTTCAGCTTTTTGTGCTTAAAAGGACTTTGAATGTGAACTTACAGCTAAGGAATATTCACTTTTCAAGCATGAATCACCATTCCCAGTTATTTAACCAACATTGTCCAGTTGTTTTACCAACTTGATCCAGTTGTTTAACCAGAATTATCCAGTTGTTTTACCAACTTTATCCAGTTGTTTAACCAACATTATCCAGTTGTTTTACCAACTTGATCCAGTTGTTTAACCAGAATTATCCAGTTGTTTTACCAACTTTATCCAGTTGTTTAACCAACATTATCCAGTTGTTATACCAACTTTATCCAGTTGTTTAACCAACATTATTCAGTTGTTAAACCAACATTATCCAGTTGTTACACCAATTTTATCGAGTTATTTATCCAACATTATCCAGTTGTTTTACCAACTTCATCCAGTTGTTTTACCAACTTGATCCAGTTGTTTAACCAGCATTATCCAGTTGTTTTACCAACTTTATCTAGTTGTTTAACCAACATTATCCAGTTGTTTTACCAACTTGATCCAGTTGTTTAACCAACATTATCCAGTTGTTTTACCAACTTTATCCAGTTGTTTAACCAACATTACCCAGTTGTTTTACCAAAGTCACCTGTTTTAAGGAACTTAAAAGTACAATCTGAGAAAGGCTCAATGAATTATATGTTGTTGAGTGGCATAGTACATTACTATTTTTTGCTTTTACACATTTTTTGAAACATTTATTTTATGTCAAGAATGTTTTGTGCGGGTTGGGTGGGGAATAGACAGTTATTTAGAATAATATTATGTTGGTTTATAAATACACATAGATATATTGTTTTGGAATGACACCTATTGATGGAGAAATACTTTGTATTATGTACCATTTAAAGGCTTGTGACGTCCCCCACGCAGGTAGGGTTGACCACCCACTATTCATTCAAGAGGGGGAAATTAACTTGCTAGGTCACTCCCAGGGTAAGGATTTGGACAGCCCAATCTTAATTTTTCAAAATCCCTCTCTTCCTGTCTGGGGGTCTCACACAATCCTTTGAATTGTATATTAGAGTCAGATTTGTGTAAGGGTCATCTCCAAATACCAACAGTTGTTCAAATATACTTAAGCATAAGGACTGGTTGTTGGGGGTGAGAAAGGCTAAAGCCAGAATGAAACTAACTGTAATTGCTGTAATGAGCACTTGCCTGTGTCATACACCCCTCCAATACCAACCAACTCCTACTTCCCACAACTATTCACGTTTGGAAATGACCCCTTTTATTTTTTGGGTTTATGTTGTGTTTGAGAGTCACTGTGCATGATACCATGAGGGTCATGAATTCCCATTTCCTATTTTTGCAATTTGGCAAAGGTTGAGTGAAATTCTCTGAAACTTTCTGCACCTACATTGCAGAGCATTATACTGTTATGAAGTTAATACTTGGTTTATTTATCAGATTCTTTATCACCAACCACCCTCAAATGAAAAAGTTGAAATACAGTAGAGACCTTTAAAGCATTCTTCTACTGCAGAAATTTTCAAATATTTCGAACAGGTTCTTCACTTATGACCATTATTGTATTTTGTACAAAATAGATTATGTAGTTCATAATAGTTCATTGTTTTGTGTATAGATGGCATAGCTTATTGTTTCTAGGACAACAGCATGATGTCATTGATGGTTATGATGGCGTCCGTGTCAAACAAATAGGTAACTTTTGTTTTTAAAGTGAAATGGACAAATTGTTTTTGGTACTATGTATTTGACAGTTCCTCCCACAGGTTTTATGGTCTTTTTGATTAATATAAGGACTAAGACTTATTAACTAGTATTTAAATACCAAGTACAGATGTATATTAATACTTATACTTTATTTATTTATATATTTAGTTTTCAGATATTTCTTATTAATGGAATGGTAAATCTCCACTGATATATTATATCTTATTAGAATCATTGTTTATTTTTTCATAATAAGAATTTATTGTTTATATACATTTGGTGTGTGCAATTATTTTTCACTTTATTTGCTTTCTTATGTTGTGCAATGTGTTATGTGTGAAATACAAATGGGTTTCAGAATTCTACATTTTAATATTGAATATTACAATACTTTAATGTGTATTGTCAGAGACATTCATAACTCCCACTAATACATCAGCATTTAAGATAATCCTTGGGAAAGTCTTCAAAACAAGATGCTCAAGGGTGAACATTTAGAACTCTAAAGCAAAACATAAAGAAATTAAGACTGACCTGTTCGCTGACTCAACAGAACAAGAGCACTCAACAAATAATCAGAGTTCCAATACTTTCCACACCAGCCCTTGTTACAAAAAGATCTTCCTTCAACAGTAATTGCTACATTCAAAATAAAAAATCTGACTTAATAGAGCATTTTATTAAAATTTCTTGCAGGTGGTTGGATGTGGGATGTCCTGTCTAAATACTGGATCATAGCGTGTGGCTTGATGCTATTACTTATGGCCCTTCAGGATGTTGTCATCTACAGGATCATCTACATGATCTTTTTCCTCTACTTTATACTCACCTTCCAGGTGTGTACCATCAGGGATCAGGTTGTATAAAACCCCAATAATTATGCCACTTACTGCCCGAGTCATGTTGGGCCATAGCTACAGATTCATTCCAAAAACTGAAAAACTCATGTGAATGATACTTGCAAGTTTAACTTTCTTTTAATTGTACTCATAAAAGATTGTAAGAAAACTGACTCCAAACGTTGCAAATATGTAAAATAAAAAGCTGGGCGAACACATCTATGTTTACAAAAAACAACATTTTATTTTGCAATACATCCAAAATAATGTATTTTGCAGTTATGCTATGGCTTCTGGAGGATGAGCATGAAGGTCTTCTGGTGGGTTTTGATAGTCTACTCCATGTTTATACTGTGCATAGTCTACACTTATCAGTTTGACCAGTTCCCCCAATATTGGCACAACAGTACTGGATTATCTATGGAAGTGTAAGTGCATTGAACATATTAATAGTATGCAATTTTGGATCTGCAGGGTTGTCACAATCAGGGAGAAGTTAAATGTAAGTCAAAAATGGCTATATGGTCATATCAGGAAAAGGTCAGGTGCTTTTAAGTAAGTGAAATTTTGAAAATCTGCTACCAATCATTGTCATGGTTAACTTTCTTTGTTATAGTTTGTTTTAGTACACTTGACAGCAATATCATTGCCACGTTTAAATTTCTTTTTATAGTTTGTCTGACATTGGCCTTAGTACACTTGACAGCAATATCATTGTCATGCTTAACTCTCTTTGTTATAGTTTGTCTTAGTACACTTGACAGCAATATCATTGTCATGTTTAACTCTCTTTGTTATAGTTTGTCTTAGTACACTTGACAGCAATATCATTGTCATGCTTAACTCTCTTTGTTATAGTTTCTCTTAGTACACTTGACAGCAATATCATTGTCATGTTTAACTTTCTTTTTATAGTTTGTCTTAGTACACTTGACAGCAATATCATTGTCATGCTTAACTCTCTTTGTTATAGTTTGTCTTAGTACACTTGACAGCAATATCATTGTCATGTTTAACTTTCTTTGTTATAGTTTGTCTTAGTACACTTGACAGCAATATCATTGTCATGCTTAACTCTCTTTGTTATAGTTTGTCTTAGTACACTTGACAGCAATATCATTGTCATGTTTAACTTTCTTTGTGATTGTTTGTCTTAGTACACTTGACAGCAATATCATTGTCATGTTTAACTTTCTTTGTTATAGTTTGTCTAAGTACACTTGACAGCAATATCATTGTCATGCTTAACTCTCTTTGTTATAGTTTGTCTTAGTACACTTGACAGCAATATCATTGTCATGTTTAACTTTCTTTGTTATAGTTTGTCTTAGTACACTTGACAGCAATATCATTGTCATGCTTAACTCTCTTTGTTATAGTTTGTCTTAGTACACTTGACAGCAATATCATTGTCATGCTTAACTCTCTTTGTTATAGTTTGTCTTAGTACACTTGACAGCAATATCATTGTCATGTTTAACTTTCTTTGTTATAGTTTGTCTTAGTACACTTGACAGCAATATCATTGTCATGCTTAACTCTCTTTGTTATAGTTTGTCTTAGTACACTTGACAGCAATATCATTGTCATGTTTAACTTTCTTTGTTATAGTTTGTCTTAGTACACTTGACAGCAATATCATTGTCATGCTTAACTCTCTTTGTTATAGTTTGTCTTAGTACACTTGACAGCAATATCATTGTCATGTTTAACTTTCTTTGTTATAGTTTGTCTTAGTACACTTGACAGCAATATCATTGTCATGTTTAACTTTCTTTGTTATAGTTTGTCTTAGTACATTTGACAGCAATATCATTGTCATGCTTAACTCTCTTTGTTATAGTTTGTCTTAGTACACTTGACAGCAATATCATTGTCATGTTTAACTTTCTTTGTTATAGTTTGTCTTAGTACACTTGACAGCAATATCATTGTCATGCTTAACTCTCTTTGTTATAGTTTGTCTTAGTACACTTGACAGCAATATCATTGTCATGTTTAACTTTCTTTGTTATAGTTTGTCTTAGTACACTTGACAGCAATATCATTGTCATGCTTAACTCTCTTTGTTATAGTTTGTCTTAGTACACTTGACAGCAATATCATTGTCATGTTTAACTTTCTTTGTTATAGTTTGTCTTAGTACACTTGACAGCAATATCATTGTCATGCTTAACTCTCTTTGTTATAGTTTGTCTTAGTACACTTGACAGTAATATCATTGTCATGTTTAACTTTCTTTGTTATAGTTTGTCTTTGTACATTTGACAGCAATATCATTGTCATGTTTAACTTTCTTTGTTATAGTTTGTCTTAGTACATTTTACAGCAATATCATTGTCATGCTTAACTCTCTTTGTTATAGTTTGTCTTAGTACACTTGACAGCAATATCATTGTCATGCTTAACTCTTTTTGTTATAGTTTGTCTTAGTACACTTGACAGCAATATCATTGTCATGTTTAACTTTCTTTGTTATAGTTTGTCTTAGTACACTTGACAGCAATATCATTGTCATGTTTAACTTTCTTTGTTATAGTTTGTCTAAGTACACTTGACAGCAATATCATTGTCTTGCTTAACTCTCTTTGTTATAGTTTGTCTTAGTACACTTGACAGCAATATCATTGTCATGTTTAACTTACTTTTTTATAGTTTGTCTTAGTACACTTGACAGCAATATCATTGTCATGTTTAACTTTCTTTGTTATTGTTTGTCTTAGTTCACTTGACAGCTATATCATTGTCATGCTTAACTCTCTTTGTTATAGTTTGTCTAAGTATACTTGACAGCAATATCATTGTCATGCTTAACTCTCTTTGTTATAGTTTGTCTTAGTACACTTGACAGCAATATCATTGTCATGTTTAACTTTCTTTGTTATAGTTTGTCTTAGTACACTTGACAGCAATATCATTGTCATGTTTAACTTTCTTTGTTATAGTTTGTCTAAGTACACTTGACAGCAATATCATTGTCTTGCTTAACTCTCTTTGTTATAGTTTGTCTTAGTACACTTGACAGCAATATCATTGTCATGTTTAACTTACTTTTTTATAGTTTGTCTTAGTACACTTGACAGCAATATCATTGTCATGTTTAACTTTCTTTGTTATTGTTTGTCTTAGTTCACTTGACAGCTATATCATTGTCATGCTTAACTCTCTTTGTTATAGTTTGTCTTAGTACACTTGACAGCAATATCATTGTCATGTTTAACTTTCTTTGTGATTGTTTGTCTTAGTACACTTGACAGCAATATCATTGTCATGTTTAACTCTCTTTGTTATAGTTTGTCTTAGTACACTTGACAGCAATATCATTGTCATGTTTAACTTTCTTTGTTATAGTTTGTCTGACATTGGCCTCAGTACACTTGACACTGGTACCCTCTTCCTCCAGCTTCTGACTCCGACAGCTTTCATAATAGTCGTCATTATACAAGTCCACTACTTCCACATACCATTCCTGAACATGAGCGCCATAGATAGATACAGGTATTGTATTGAATTGTTATTGTATTTTGTTTACCACCAGAGAAGGTGAGCAATACCCACTCAGCTGAAGTGTTAAGCTGCTACCGTTAAGCTTTATCCTTCCAGCTGTTCAAAATCAAAAAAAAAAGTCAAACCTGTTTTGTGTACTTCAAACAGGTTCTAGTTTAAGATAACATTATGTAAAGAGCGATACATGTATGGTTTCTCATCAATGCTTTAAAACTACCATACATTGACATTTAAATACATGTGATACATGTTTCTGAATGGATCATCTTTCATTTTTTTTTTTTTTTTTTTTTTTTTTTTTTCCTTCATTCTTACTTATGTACATGTAAATATAAATATGTACATGTTAATGTAATGCAATTAATAATATAAATAAAATTTACATAGACAAAAAAATACACTTATAGTTATGTTGTAAATGTATGTTGACTAAATGAATGTTGAATAAAATTGCAATTGTTGTTGATTGTTGATTGATAAAAGAATGAGTAAGAATAAAGTGTATTTAAAACCAATGCAAGGGGTGTGCTTTCATATCCTATTTTGATGCTGTTTACTATATGTTGTAAAGGGATCTACAATGTTTTTATTTACTGCTTGAATATCTTTTGAGCAGTTTTCCATGCTTTGTCATGGGCTTCTAACTTGTTATTCTTCTCTGCATTGCTTCTGCTTATGATTTCCTGGGCTTCAACATATTTCTTGAGGCCTGTCATATTTGGTGGTTTATTGTCTAATTTGTTGAGATAGATGTAGTGTTTAACCAAGAGTAGCGTCAGGTTTTCTCCCAAACTGGTGTTCTCTCCTAGGAAGTATTTTGCTCTTGTCAGGTTTTGTATTTGACACAGTTGGGTGACCATCTCTATGAATGGTTTGACAGCTATACATTCGTATAGTCCATGTTCGATGGTATCCTGTTTGTCTTCTTTACACAATTCACATTGTGGGCTTGTTTTGATTTTCATATTGTGTAGCATTTTGTTGAAAAATATTGTTCGAAGTAATATTCTATATTGGAAATATCTCAGTTTTGTTTCCTTTGTTGTTATGTATATTCTACAGTAGTTGCTTTTCCAGTTTATATTTGTGTTGTCTATCGCCTTTTCCCATAGTTGTTGTTGTTTTATTGGTTCTTCAGTGTGGCTTTTTATTAGTATGTTATATGTATCCTTATTCGTCATTGTTTGTAGTTCCTTTATAGAAATGGATTTTTCTTTCACATCAGTTGCTGTCTCGGTCCTTCTCGGTGTTTTTATTTGGTTTCTCCATTCAGCTGGTATGCTGTGTATGATGTGGTACCATTGAATGAATGTTGTGTTTATTAAATCAAATTTCCTTTTCAGTGCTTGGTACGGGATTAATTGATTGTCCTCATACAACTGTTTGATATATATTATCCCTTTGGATTTCCACCCCTCTATATATAAGGTCTCTCTTCTATTTTGCACATGTCTATTGTTCCAAATTATCTGGTTTTCGGGTGTATGGATGTCCTTGTACTCCTTATAATGTATTGCACACCATGCATTGTATACGTCCCTTGCTTCTGTAAGTTTGATGTTGCTGGCAATCATCGGATTGATTTCTCTGAGGTTGTATTCCCATGCATGTTCTCTGATATCTTCAAACTGCTGTTGCCAGAGTATTTTCCACTTACTTTTTATGTTGTCGTCCGTTAATTTTTTAATCCATTTGAGTTTTAATTTATTAGCAAGTGATGGAATATGCGTCATTTCAAGACCTCCATAAGGTATTCCCCCTCTTAATGTTTTTCTTGCTATTTTGTCCGGTTTTCCGTCCCATATAAAATCAAATAGTATTCTTTCTAGTTCTTTGGTCATTTCAGCTGTTGGTGCTTTTAACACTGACATTGGATATGTTAACTGTGATAAAAGTAGTGACTTTATAACCACGATTTTACCCATCAGGGATAGATTTCTTTGCTTCCATATTTGTGCTAATCTTAGTATAGTCCTGATTGGTTTGCTATAGTTGATTTCTTCTATGTTTCTTCCATCTATCGGTATTGTTAAGCCTAGGAGGTTAATCTCCCTTTCTTCTAGATTCACTCCAATATTTGTGCATATTCTCTGTGTCTTTTTTTTGTTTATCTGGTTGTCTTTTCCAATGGTAACTACTGTTGTCTTTTCTTTATTGATTTTAAGTCCTGATATCATCTCAAATTTATTAAAAAGATCTAGTGCATTTTCTAAATATGAGGCGTCTTTAAGGAACAAGCAGGTATCATCTGCATATTGCGAGATTCTGAGTTCTTCGTTTTCTGTTAGATTGATACCTTTTATTTTGTCTGTCTTCCGTGTAGCATTGCTAAGAACTTCTGCACATAGGATGAATATGTAAGGACTCAATGGGCAGCCTTGTCGTACACCTCTTTCAAGGTTGAAGTACCTGGATGTGAAGCCATTGTTTATTATAGTGCTGTTTATTCCATTGTAGAAAGTTTCAACCCAGGCTATTAAGTCTGTGCCAAAATTAAAATACTTCAAGGTTTTATAGATGAATTTCCACTCCAATGAGTCGAATGCCTTTTGGAAGTCGATAGTTGCCATAATGCCATTCTTTCCTTGTTGAGTCAAGTGTTCCATTACATCTAGTGATAGTCTTATGTTCTCACCTATGTATCTGTTTGATATAAATCCTGTCTGGTCTACGTTGATAAGTTTGTAAAGAACTTTTTTAATGCGTTCTGCTATGGCCTTTGTCATTATTTTGTAGTCGTTGTTAAGTAGGGTTATGGGTCTCCAGTTCTTTATTTTGTTCGGATCTTTACCTTTTTTGGGTATTAGAGTAATTATTCCTCTTTTTTGTTCTATCGTCATGTCTTTGTTATTTTTTGAGTAGTTGAAGCTTGCACACATTGGGTCTATGATGTCATCTACAAATGTTTTATAAAATTCACTGGAGAGTCCATCGCTTCCTGGGGTTTTGTTGTTCTTGAGGTTTGAAATTTGTTTTCTGCATTCATCTGCTGTTATATGCCCTTCACAATTTTGTTTTTCATCTTTGTTTAGTTCCAGGTTTTCTCCTTTTGGGAAAAAGTCTTTATCAAATTTAGTTGTTTCTACAATTCTTGTTTTATATAATTCACTGTAAAACTTTGCTTGTTCCTCACTTATTTGTTTTTGGTCTGTTATTAGGACGCCTTCTTCATCTTCAATGGCTGTCATGGTTTTGTTTATGTAATTGTGTTTTTCAAGATTTAGGAAGTATCTTGTTGGCTTTTCTCCTTCATCTACCCATTGACATTTACTTCTAAAGATAGCGCTTTTAGCCTTCTCTTCTTGCATTAAGTCTATTTTGTTCCTTATTTTTTCAGCTCTGTCTGTTAACTTCTGTCTTTCTGGATCGGCGAGTGATTTATTGTTTTCCTGATGTTCAATCATAATTACTTGGCCAATTTTAATATCTAGTTCTTGTTTTTTCTTCCTCTTTTTCTCTGTTGCGTAGCGTCTTGTCTCCATTTTAATGTTAAATTTGATTAATTCCCATAAACTATTTGGGTTGAGGTTTTCATTGTTCTGCTTTACATTGTTGATTATTACTTTTATGCTTTCTACATATTCTTTGTCTTTGAGTAATGTGTTGTTAAGTTTCCAGATGCCCGGTCCCCTCCTCTGGTTTAATAATTTGAGTTCAAGTTTTACTGGTCTATGGTCAGCAATTTTCCTTTTCACCATCGTTTCATTTAGAATCTCTGTATTCTTTGTTTGTTGGTAGATGTCTCTAGTTACTAGAAAATAGTCTAGTCTACATTTAATTGTGTTGTCGTGATTGTTCCAAGTGTATTTTCTACTGTGTGGATGTTTTTGTCGCCATACATCGCATAGGTCGTGTTCCTCTATCATATTTGTAATAAGCGCCCTTGTTTTGATAAGCTTGTCTTCCACCTTCTTTGTCCTTTGATATATCTAATGGGACATTGAAATCTCCTCCAATAATGATTGAGTTTTCATTTTTGTCTCTTAGTTTTTCTTTAATATTTTGAAATAGATTGCTGTCGTCATGGTTGTGGCCGTAAACATTTACCAGTGTAATGAGTTTGCCTTTTAAGAGGCAGTCCATGATGATGAATCTCCCGTCTTTGTCGATATCACAGTTTATGATTTCAGGGTTAGGAATACATTTTTTGTTTATTAATGTTGCTACTCCAACTGAATTTGTAGCTGTAGTTGTGAAGTAGGCTTCTCCTCCCCATTGTTGCTTCCAGTTCTTGTCTTGCCCTTTTCCGCAGTGCGTTTCTTGTAAGAATGCGATGTCAAAATTATCTTCTTGTATATATGTAAATATTTTTTTACGTTTGACCTTGTCCTGTAGACCCTTTACATTAACTGATACTATTCTAATTGACATTTATACAGATTTGTTATGTTACCCTTGCATTGGTTTATACATTTAATTATTATTTTAATTGAAATAAATTTTGCTGAAATCTTATATAAAGAATGTTGCTCGTAGAGCGTATTGGGATGATAGTGGAATTCTACCATCTCAATAAGAGGTCGAGATAAAAGCTTTAGGAGTGCGTTGAACTTACATTAAAGAGGCAGGTTTAAATAAATTCTTACTGTTTGATTCTAACTCAAAAGTTGTTGAGAATTTGATTTGCTGTACGCTAAAAAAAAAAATAGTTGCGTAAATTGAATAAAAGTTCAGTCTTAACTAATGTCTATTTTGATCTGCAAGGGTAAAGAATTATTTTTTGTTCAATCTCTTTGTGATGATTTCTTTGTATATATCGTCCATATTTACTGGATTGCCGTCAATATATACTCTAACCCCTACCCACTTGACCTTCTTTCTTTGTTGTTTGGCCTCTTTTGTATATAATTTGTAGGCTAGGTTTTGAATTGCACGGGCATCTTCAGGTAGGTCTTCTCCAATTCTCACATTGCTTTTTGCTTTCTTGGACCAGACTAGCCTTTTAATCGCATTCGCTTCCTTTTCCGATTCGAATTGTATTAGTACGGGTC